CACCCTGCAAGGGCCAACATCGCATTTCCTGTGCGGATCGATAGGTTTGGTCTGTGTGGAGGGTAATCAGATTACGCTGACAGCAGCCTCAAGGATTTATGTCTCGCAGGTGGAAGCCGGCTCCCTCTGCCTCTAGTTGCCTCCCTAACAGAGTCAGTTTGGTGACATTAAAGCTCTCCAGGTGCCTTTGTCCTGTGTTTCTCTGAAGCTGCTGCACAGAGAATTGTCAAGACCCTGCTCCCTAGTGATGTTACAAAATGATGGAAGAAACCGTGAATGAAAAACTCTTACCCTGGAGTCCTTACTCCCCTCTGCTCTTCGGTGTCTTTCCCCCGACTCAGAGAAGAAGGGCATTGGGGAGATCCGTGTAACGAGCTTATTTGGCAGAAAATCGTTGCGCCTTCGCAGGATGGACTGAACATTTGCTTGGGTGATTCCTGTGTTGACAGCAGCCCTGTTCAGTCACCAAGTTCAGTGCAGCAGGTTTGCCTTTGATCTGAAGAGAGATCTGCCTGAATTTGAATACTTTATCTTAAAACCCCTTCGGAAACTGGCGGGTTCTGTTGGGAGGCCAGTGTAGCCTGGCCTGTGCCGGGCCGGCATGCCTCACAGGACGGGAGCCCAGCCGAGCATCCGGCTCCTCTCCCTGTTAACTGTGCTTGGGAACTCTGTTGCTCAGAGTGTCATTTCACTGTGTGGTTCCCACACCTGGTCATGACCAGGAAAGAGGAGCTGGGACCATCAGTGTGGTCACAGCGAGGTGGTTTCTCTCATGCGTAATTCTGGGTCAGCCAGGACAGCTGTGCGATGGGAATGAGTCATCACTGACATCAATCCATCCATCCCACTCCACCAAATTGGTATTTACAGAATTTCCCATGATCAGAGCACCTACCTGTTAAAGAGTGTTTAGCTAAAAAAAACAAATAGCTGCAGTTAGTCTAAAAAAACCATAGTTGGATAAAAAAAACAAATAGCTGCAGTTAATAGGTGCAGAAAGGGCTGCACCTTTTGTTAATGTTGTCTGTGTCTGTTTTCTCTCCAGTTGCAATGGATTTTGGAGGCTGATAGTTTAGCCTGATGGAGGCTATTAAAATGACAAACAGCTCAAACAGCACACACAGCAAAAACATCTGCTTTGAAGAGCCTGAGGATTAGGGCGGAGGATGATGTTATACTGCCACCTTATGGTTAAAATGCATCTGCTTTTAAAGCAAAAGACCATCAGTTTTTCTACTCACTGCGTCACATATTGATTAAAGTCATGAAATGAATGGATATGAAAAAATAAGATGTTATGGAGCAAAATAATTTCATCCAAAATATTTTAGTCCAAAATGATTTTCCAGAACAATTTTTCAAAGGATCCCCAACAGAAGTCTTGCAACCTCATGCACTGGCCTTGCTCAGAGCCCAGTACGAGGTCCCACTGTAGTCTAAAATTATATAAAATTGGGGTGGGGGGCATATTGCCTCTTTTACAGCAATATCACACATTAGTATTGAATTGTAGTCTTGGTCATGATTGTACAGCAGTGCAGCCAATGATGGAGTCTGTCCTAAAACAAAAGAATTCCCACCTTCGGCAGCTCATCTTCGTGGGGTGTTGGTGCTGTGTAACTGCAAGTGCGAGTGCAGTGCGCAGCGCCCCTTTGCGCTGTGGTGAATAACCCATTGCATATTTACACATGTTGCCTGACATTGGAGTATTTTTTGTACTTTGAAGAAATAATATTCTGTTATCGAATGCAATTTCATTGAGACAGGTAAGAACAGGATTGAGAGAAACAGGCATGAACACAGCAGGAGGAATATCCCCAAATTGCTCACATATCTCTGCTGGTATGGATTCATTCTGGAGACTCAGAAAATACCTTATTTGATATAGGAATTAGCAGAAGACATGATGGTCCTCAGGGCAGTAACAGTATCACTGATTTAGCAGCCTTAGGTTATCTTTTCTGCAGGGCACCAGTTGATAAAGGGCGCAGTGTGTGGTCTGGAACACACCTCATGTGGTGGGCCCTTCCTTTCAGGGTTATTTATTTCCCAGACACTGTGCCTCCTGTCTTATTTTTCCCCCTCTACCGCTAATCCTGAGAGAAGCCTTCCAGCCATGGAGAAACACATTGATCCCCCACACTGCTCAAAATAAACCAAAAGTAGGACCCAGAGCACTGTGTCTAATCTCAGTGACCCCACTGCACGAGGGCCCCAGCCTTGGGAAAAAGGCCATTGCACTTCTAGGAAAGCCCTGGACCATTCACAGGAGGCCTCAAGTCTCATCCCCACCAAGAAGAACGAACGTGGAAGCCACATATGTGCATCTACAAATGAGGTCAGTCTGTCTACACATAATTGGAGAGGGACACACATGGAGATAAGTCTGTCTACTCACATGGGGGAAGGAAAGTCCAGCCACACACATGGGGGAGGACAGATCTGTCTCAGTTGTAGGTAAGCCACCAAAATTAAGTAGTCAATGCCCACAGAAGGAATGGACTAGAGAAGTATGGAAACAGGAGTCCCGAAAAAGAGAGCCGGAGAGAAGAGTAACGGGCACACACTTCCTCTAAAACAGGACTAATCCCGCTGGAGGTGTGCTGTGAGCTCAAAGTCCTGTGCATGTGGCACCTCCCAGGGCAGTTGCCCCTGCCCATCCCCATCCCTGCTTGACTGTCCAGCCACACCAGAGGCTTCTGGGAGGTAGAAGCACCCTTGGCCTTGGAGATTACAATATATCTGACTCAGAAACATGTGCCAGATAATGACAATTTTTTTCACTGTGAGGTTTTTGTCCACAATGAGAACTTTTGGAAGAAGTATTTCTTTTAGTAGCTTTTCAGCCAATTCTAGCTGAAGGGGTGTGAGCCAGGAGTTCAGACACATTTTTTTCTGAATTACAGCTTTATTCAGAAGCTCATACTGATCAGCTTTCATCGTCTGTTTCCCTACATTGTTTTTGTCAGCCAGCAACTCACATATTTTATTATATTCTATCAGCCTCCCCCATGTAGAAAGAGTAAGAAGAGAAATGTACTGAAATGGAGAGCCCCCACCATAACTGTTGGATGCATATCTATCTGGCTTTGGAATAATTCACAAGCAGTTTTCTCAGAACCTGGCAGTTCATTAACAGACACTAATTAACTCTGCTGTGTGTGTGAATGAGGGAATGAAGGAGGAAGCAAGCAGATGCCTGCACCACAGATTATATATGTTGTGCTTTGGACCCGTTCATTAAACTTTATCCCATGGGTATTCATAGGCTGCCATGATAATGTGCTTGCTTGAATGTTGTTTAATAACTTACTGTGGGGCCAGTTTGTCGTCTACATTTAAAGTGAATCAATCATGCTTTCAACAAGTCCTAAGGTGGTGACATTCATTCAGTTAGAGCCGCCCAGGGCAGCCGAGCCGGGGTGCTGATCACCCGCGACTGAGCTTGGGGTACTCACAAATCACCAAGGGACGAAGGAAGTATTCCCCTTGTACACAGGAAGTATTTAGAGAGAATTGAGAAGTGTCCCTGTTGATTCAAGGGCCAAGGAAAACAATTACCTTGCCTTCTAGGATTCTCTGTGTACATTGCAGGTGTACATAGCATTTTTTTCTTTTTCTCCAGCTTTTTGTCATTCATTATTCCTCCACCTTAAATACTCAAATATATGGGAAATATTTCACATGGAGAAAATTTGGTCTTGTTGAAACACCTTTACAGAAATGGTTTTTGTACCTCCATTTCTCTGTGCTCTCCTGTGTGTCACAAAGCCACCAAGTGTTGGCTAGACGGGCTCACCATGATGGCAAAACAGTGACACCTCTTTTCAGGGAACAAACAAGAATGGAAACATAGACAGTTTTTTTCAAGAAGGTAAGTTTTTTGAACTTTGGCTCATTATTATAAGACAAAAATATTTATCTGCTTACCTTATTTGTGAAACTTGAGATTAAGTTAGAGGCTATTCATTATAAGTTAGAATGTTCTAGAATTGATCAAAGCAAATGTTCTTTAAATGCAAGCTCACTGACAAGAGATCATTAATTTGATTATACTACTCCATTTCTCAAAATCTATAACTTGAAATAGTTCAGAAAACTTAATCTATGTGCAGTTAGAAACAATGTAGCAAGAAGAGAGTAGAGCGCCTTCTAAGGGTGGAGACCAGAGGCTTTGGAGTCAGAGACCAAGCTTACCCTCACCTGAGACACCTTGAGGGGAACTTACTCAGTATCTCTGCCGTTCAACTTTCTTGTCTGAAAAAAAAGCAGGGATTGTCAGTTAGTACCTTCTTCACAGGCTGGGGCAGTGATTAAATGAAAACATTTAGCAGAGGCCCAGGTACATTACCAAGTGGTGATATATATTTGGTACAGCTCTTATCCTTCATTTGTTGTTGTTCATAATTTCTTGTTTACTGCTGGTGATGTTTCTTAGCAACGACTTTCATCCATTCACCTGAAAATGTACTTACTGAATGTTCATAGAAGCGTTATGAAAGCAGGCCCTGAAAGTAAATAGTCATATACCCGGAATAGACAACCATTAACGAGGTGAATGTAAAGACATTCTCTTTCTTTAATAGCACTGACCTTAAACCTTATGGAAGATAAGTGGGTTTGGGGAGCTAGGGAGACAAGTTGGGGAGATGCAAATTTAATAAATGCTCTATACTGCCTGGGAAAAAAGAATCCAGGTACACATTTATTTGTTTGCTGTGGAGCACCTGGAGTCCTACCTTATTTGAAAGCAATAAGAAATTTATCCCCAAACATTCCAGAATGATCAAACACTCATCACCTCACACACTGTGCAGCATTTGTACATACCTAGTTTATCTTTTGATGTGAGGAGACAAAAAGTCCTCGACAGTGAGGGGACAAAGGTCCAGTTGAATCCAGAGCACTCGCCTCCCTTGCTCTGCAAAGTCATCCTCCCAACAGGATGCTGGCTTGTTATCACCTGTGACATCGTTTCAAACAGATTGGTCTCTCTGCAGGCAGACCACGGACGGACGCAGCCCTCACCCAGTGACACCAGCTCTGAAGGACTGAGCTACTTACCAACCCAGTGACACCTCCTTTTCCCACCATGGGACCTTCTGGGAGCCTGCTCGGCAGTGAGCACATGCAGCTTGTCCTTTTGGGAAGTTTGGCAGCTGCCACCACTTTCTTCCTCATCACCTTCCTCATCTTCCTGTGCTCCAGCTGTAACAGGTGAGAGCCATGTGTATCTGCTGGAATGTTAAAGTGACATGGTCCCGCCCTCAGTGGACTCTGCAGAAAAGCCTGTTGTAAGCGGATCCCACTGCACAGACAGGGGGCCACAGAAATTCCTGTGTTCAGGTTAACTGACTTCTCTGCTGCTGAGGATCCTGGCATTGTTTTGTTGGGTGAAATCTATATTATATGACTTTGCCAGGAAGTAACGGGAAGAGCCCTATGGATGAATCTTCCCAGAATGACATCCCTGCTGCTCTTTTGAGCACTGGTCAAAGTTTCCATTGTCTTTTTCTGTGCGCATTTAGAAAACCAAGTGTGATAAGGATTGAAGATATGCTTTTTGCTACTACTTGAGAATTCCTGAGAGTGTCTGCTGTTACCTGGCTTTGGAGGGACCATTTTATTACAAATTTGTAATCTAGGGCTGCTGCAGTTTCTAAAGAAACAGACTAGTTTTCCTATAAGAGATATATGCTGTTTATGAAATAATCATCTTGTCTTTCTTATAATTCTCCCTCTTTCTGCACCCCCATCTTCCTTTATGTCTCACTCATATAAAATGTACCCTCAGAAAAGAGATCATTGCTCAAAGAGAAGCAAGGTTCTTTCTAACCAGGAGTGATTTTCAAGGTGTCCAGACACTGTCACAGTATGTGCGACTCCTGATTGGTTGGCTGCTGCTGGGAGCCTCTGCAGACCCCCAGTCCCCTTCCAGTAACCTTAGAAGAGACTCAAGTGTTACTTAAGAGCCTTGATATGGCTACCCTAATTTCTCTGTCAAGGGGGGAAACCCTGGACTCTCTGAACCCAAGAGCCTCCTCCTACCTACCTACCAGGCCTCAGGGCTGAGACAGTGTGGCTGGGAGGAAAGAGAACCTTTGTTCCCTGGGCAGTGGGGTTGCCCTGGGGAGGCAGGGGAGGGGTGGGGCGGGGGTGTGGTGGGGGCGGGGGGGGGGGGGGAGCAATGGTGGGAGGGGGGCAGGGATGAGGACCTGCCTCTGTAGTTATTGGGTCTCCCACCAGGTGGTGCTATTGCCTCATGCATCTATGGGAAACGAACTCCAGAACTGTTGGCTTCCTTAAGAATGTCTGGAGTAAAAATAAATTCTGTTTTTACCCTACGGACTTTTCCATAGACTGGAAGTACATATGACTCATCCTGAGAGTATGCACCCCTCCCAATGTGCCAAAATCTGTATTTTGTTTGATTATTTTCTGTGCCCCACTGCAGTGTGACTTTGCAAAGATTCCAAGTTAAGTGAAAAGATGTCTGGATTTTTTTTTTTAAAGGCATCACTCTCCCAGTATACTAGATACGATCAGTTTTTACTCAGGATTTGGCCTCTGTCCGCTTGTTGAGAACCTGTAATTTCTACTCCAGAAGAAGGGAAGAGCAGGAAGTGACAGGTCCCTGCTGTGACTCGGCCCTTCAGACCCTCTGGCAGTGAAAGAGTGATGAATGCCTGTCCGGCCTTGGTTTTCTTGGCAGCTAAACTTGGTTTTTAAAAGAGATGTCAATGTTGATAAACATTAGGATAGGAAAGGACGTGCATGTTTGATTTTAGATGGCACGCTTGATATCACAGTAATGTCTCATTTTCCATTTCAGAGAAAAGAAGCCAAGACAGTACAGCGGAGACCATGAGAACCTGATGAACGTGGTGAGCCCATGTGCGGTGTGTGTGCACCTGAGTTCACAGGGTGCCTGGGCTGGGTCCTCCCTGCAGGTGCAGACTCGCTGAGGCTGGAGGCTAGAACATGCAGCCAGGTTGCTGGGAGGGTGTCTGACACTGGTGCAGTTGTGCTCATCCAGGAAGATCCTGTGAGAGCTCCAGCCTACAGCAGGGATGTCTCTTTTTTGCATCCTCCTAGCTCTAGCCCGTGTATTCATTAACTAGGGCTATTGTAACAAGGGACCACAAACTAAGTGCCTTAAATATCAAATTTATTGTCCCACAGCTCTGGAGGCTGGAAATCCAAGATCAAGGTGTCAGCGAGGTTGGTTCAGAGGGCAGATTTTTCTGGCCATTCTCCCAGCTACTAGAGGCTTGCTGGCCATCTTTGGTGTCCTCTGTGCCTCCATGGTCACATGGCATCCTCCCTGCCCTGTGTGCTGTCTCTGTCCAAGTTTCCCCTTTTTTATAGGGATTCCAGCATGACCTCATCTTAACAAGTTTCATCTGCAATGACCCTGTTTCCAAATAAGGTCACATCCTAAGGTATCAGGGCATAAGACTTCAGCATAGGAATTTGGAAACCATAAAATTCACCCCATAACAGCTGACCATCAAGCCAACCAGAGCCTGGGAGCCCCCACACTCTAGATGTGACCTGGCCTTGCTGGGTTTCCGAGCCCTCAGTGCCTTATGGGTCCTGACCAGCCTAAGGGTGTCAGGTCAACCAGGTGAGAAGCAGCCTGAGTGGCCTGGTCCCTTGTGTATTGGTTCTGCCTTGTGCTCTCCACTCAGGTGCATGCTCTTGACCTGCTGAATCATTCCAGCGGCTGGGGATTCCCTCCCCTCCAGCTCTGGTGCACCTGCTGCTGTCCTGGGCTCTCAGCACCACCCCTCACCCCCATCACAGTCTCTGGTTGTCTGGTTCCCATGGGCGTTTTCTCCTAGAATCTAAGAGTAGAGATGGTAGATAGAGCCCAGGCTATGGTAATTCAGCTGGGATAGGTTATTAGGCTCGTAGGGGCCTACCTGGGAGACTTCCTCCCTCACACCTGACACCTGCTCAGGTATGACATCCCTTCTATGATATTAGCATCTGTTTCTCAAGTTCCTGGCCACCTAACACAGTGATCTATCTCATAGACACCCTTCACTGAATAGAACAGCTGACTCTCATGAGGTTTTGGATCATGACAGCATGAGCCATGTGCTCTCTGCTGTCATGTGGCTCCCCATCCAGAGCTGGGATGTGTGAGGCCGAGAGGCTGAGCTTCCAGTGTGCGTCCCATCAGCAATGTCTAAGAATGAGTAGGGGACAGAGCCTGTGAGAGGTGGTTCAGGCTGCCACATGGGACCGGCTCAGTGTTTGAAGAAGTACAGGAACTACCGACTTGCTGACTACCCATAGCTATAGCTTGACCTGGCATATTAGTCTATGTAGTACCTGCACATTCAAGTCCAGCAGAAAACCTTCAGTCTCCAAGGCCATCCTTCTCTCCAAGTGCCCTGAATTTGTGAGAATAAGAAAAGTTTGCAGACCTGCTTTTTTGCATCTGATTGTTTTGTGAACCTTGAAACAGAGACTTGGCTGGTTATGAAACAGTCTCAGCAATTGATGACATTATTTATCATTAACAGATAGATTTAAGTCTCTTCCTGTCAGGTGACAACAGGGGATGCCTTTCTGCATTTTGCATGGCATGGCTCACCTTTTAGACATAGCATTTCACGGCACCTGGGAGACAAGGATGAGGCTGTGCTGGTGTCGATTGTGATGAGCAGCATGGGGCTTATGGTCCCCTCCTTGCCTGGACCGAGGGGACTGATCCCCTGACGACTCAGGTGGGAGGATCCACAATGCCCTGATAATGCTAAGACAGCCCTGGCCAGAAGAACTTCCCATCAGGATGAACGTGTCCTGATCTGGGTGACACAGGAGCCACCAGCTACTTGTGGCTACAGAGCACTTGAAATGTGCTGAGCACAACTGAGCAACTGAAGTTTATTTAATTTCCTTTTATTTAAACCAAAGTATTGGACTTGGGTTTTTGTTGTTGCTGTTTTAATTTTTAGAAGAAGGTGAAGGTACTTCCCTCTCCCAAGCAATCTGACTCGTGTAGTGTGTCTGTCTTGCAGCCTTCGGACAAGGAAGTGACCAGCCGTTCAGTGACCAGTCTGGCCACAGATGTCCCTGCCAGCAGTGAGCAGAATGGGGCACTCACCAATGGGGATAGTAAGTCCTGCAAACATTGGCTTTCCACGCAGAACTCATCACCAGAGAAAGTGTAGCTCAGCCCTGCCAGCATGGCTCAGTTGGTTGGAGCATTGTCCCATAACTGAAAAGTTACAGGTTCAATTTCCAGTCAGGGCACATACCTGGGTTGCATGTTTGATCCCTGGTCCACACAGTCCACATGCATACGATTCCTGATCCAGGTGCATACGATCCCCAATCAGGGCACATCGGGGAGGCAACCAATCGATGTTTCTCTCTCACATCAATGTTTTTCTCTCTCCTTTCCTCTCTCCCTTTCTCTCTCTCTAAAGTAATAAAAAAAAAAAGTCCTTGGGTAAGGATTAAAAAAGAAGAAGAAAGTGTAGTTCAGAGACTAGGAAGTGTGTTCTAGCTCAATTATTGTACCAGTTTTATCAAAAGTCATTTGATTTGGTTGACAAGCTACAGTGTATTGATTGGCTTCTGTGTGGCATTGCTCCAAGATGTATGGTCACTCATTTTTCCTCACAGCCACACTGTCAGGTTGCTGTTACCCCTCCCTGTGATGAATATGAAGTATAAGCAGTATTATTGTGCACGGTTTGCAGTGAGTGGCTCATGGCTACTGCAGCAGATGACCACAAACTTAGCTCTTTAGAATGACATAAATGAAGGAACTTAACTATTATTAATCAGTGTCGGCAGGATTGTGTTTCTCCTGGAGGCTCTGGGGAAATCTGTCTCCTAGCCTGATCCAGCCTCTGAGGCTCCAGCATTCCTTGTCCCTGCCTTTCTCTCCCCCACTGTCCTGCCTCCCTGTCTCATAATGACACCGGCCCACCTGGAAATGAACTTGACCCACCTGGGTACTCCGGGCGGATCTGGCCATCTCATCTCAGCTGACAGTTCTGCCTGTGTATTTAGTTCCTCCCATGCCCCCTAACGTCACACACAGGCTCCAGGGATTGGGATGTGGACCCTCTGGGGGCCATTATTTTGCCTCCAACACAGAGGCTAGCCATTTGCCTGAGACTACACAGTCAGTGCACTGGGGGTCTTTGTCTGAACCCGACAATCTGCATTGCAGGCACACCTTTAGGACCACCCTACCAGCTGGCTGCCCCACCCACGGGTTGCTCCCCAGACAAAAGGAGCTCCTATGTTTGTTTGGCATGTTCTGGTTTACAAAGGCACTCACCAAAGCTAGGAGGTTGTCAGCACCCTCACTGATAAGGAAACTAGGCGCTCAGTATTGACTCTAGTCTTCACTCCAGTGCCTGCTGTCCATCCACCACGACACAAATGACTATACCCAGGAGGCCAAAGTCCCCCCTCCCACCGTGATGACTTAGCATTTAGAACGCTGGGCTGGTAAGTTCAAAAGGCCAGAGCCCATCATCATTTTTTTTCAGATACCCCTTTGGGATACTATTTCTAATCCCGACAAAGGCAGACACAGTTTTGTTGTTTTGTTTTGCTTTGTTTTCAAAATAAGAGTTGAGCACTGTATTCATTCATTCTCTCACTTAGTTTTTCAGGCAAAAACATATCATGGTGCCTCCCACGTGTTAAATACTCCCTGGGCCCCAGCAGTCTCATAGAGTCTCAGTCTAGCCAGTAAAAATAATGGGCAAGTTATAAACACACACACACATACACACACACACACACAAAGACCATATATCATATGCAAGGAATATGCTAGATAAAGAGCATACAAGATGAACACATGCATGAGTATAGAGGCATAAATACATATTAAAACATGCATCTATACTTAATTACCCTCACACTTTTCATACCTAAATATCAAGTCTGTGTAATGGAGGCACAGCACTTAGTGACGTCCCTTTCTGGGTTAGCGCCAGGAGGGCCGGACCCTGCTGGCTGGTGGACCTCCAGTACATCCAGGCCACAGCGGGCTCTGAAGCCTTCCGTAAAGGGATGACCGCATGGCTCCATACACAACATTTCTGTGGCCAGTGAAGGATTTCACATTTGGGTTTTCTAATTTGAGGTGGAAATGGGGAGTGGGGAAACCTTTAAAGGTCTCTTTATGACACTGGTCGAGGGCGCATTTTTGCCCCATCATTCCTGTGATGTCTGCCAAACAACCTGACCTTTGAAAGGGGATGGCCAGTAATTATTTCCTCCAAATGGGGGGTCAGTAGGGCCAGGGAGAGTGGCCACCAGACACCCCCATCTTTGGGGTGCCAGGCCTTTCACTGTGCAACCCCGTGAATGTCACTCTCATGCCCTGGTCACAGAAGATCTCTGCCTGTGAGGGTGCCATCAGGAGGAACATCAGGTAGTGAAAGCAACCAGGAACCAAATCTATAGCCAAAACAGCTTATTAAATATTGTGTTGGAAAGATGTGATTGAAATAAGAATGTCGACTAACACTCAGAATACCTGTAACTTGCAGCTGAGAGTCAAACACAGATAAGCCTATTGGTGTTAGACATGATCCGAGTCCCTGAAATAATTATTCCAGGAATTGTCTTTGTCCCCTTAATTCTTCTGCTCTAGTTGTCTCAGAAGACAGCACTGTGACCTGCATGCAACATTATGAGGAGGTCCAGACCTCAGCTTCCGACCTGTTGGACTCCCAGGACAGTACAGGGAAGCCCAAGTGTCACCAGAGCCGGGAACTACCCAGAATTCCTCCTGACAGCACAGTGGGCACGATGGCCAGTGTGAGGAGCATGGATGGGGACCCAGGGGTGGGGACAGAAGGGCCATATGAAGTGCTCAAGGACAGCTCATCCCAGGAGAACATGGTGGAGGACTGCTTGTATGAAACCGTGAAGGAAATCAAGGAAGTAGCTGCAGCTGACCCCGCGGGCAAAGGCCCCAGTGGGCAGTTCAAGGTGACCCCTGCTTTGAGGGAGCTCCCTGCCGAAGGCCGAGCCGACTTTGCTGAATATGCCTCTGTGGACAGGAACAAAAAGTGTCGACAAAGCGTGAATGCAGACAATGTTCTGGAACCTTCCCATGATCTAGAGGAGGAGGCCCCACCGCCCGTCCCCATTAAACTTCTGGATGAGAATGAGAATCTTCGAGAGAAGGAAGACAGAAAGGCAGGAGAAGAAAGCACCCCAGAAGAGACCAGTGACACCAACAAGGTGAGTTCCGATGTTGTTTCATGTGCTCTTGTCACAGTAGGAATCTAGCAAACCTGGGTTTTTTTCAGGCACATTGTTTGGGGAAATTCATGAAAACAGGTTCGAATTCAGTGAATGTTGAAAGCTATGTTGGCATAAGCTGTGTTCGACTTTTTCCCATCCAGGTAGTAAAAGACTGAACATTCATGTTTATAAAATGTTTCTCTCTGGGCAGCTTACCTGAATATTTTTCAGTTTTTACATCATGTCAAATTGGGGCCACATGTTGCTTTTTTTTTCTTCTGAAGAATGATAATTAAGTAGACTAGACTCTTAGCCACTCATTTAGTCTCTTCTCTTTGCTGTCACCTCCAATGGCGAGATGACCCCTATCCACTCCAGACCCCAGACATCAAAGCAAAGAGCATACACAAGGAAAGCAACTCATAGGTGTCACTGGTTGTATCTGGTTAAGCATAAGCTCTTATATAAATCAAGTAAGAGATTTTATTTTGCAACAATTTCTAAACAACAACCTGTGTCTCAAGTTTAGATAGTCAACCAAGCTCAAATGTGTTAACAGTTCGTGAGCCTTCTCTGTGTCCGATGATGCAATGCAAGAGCTACAGTAGCTTGAAATTCTCATCTCCAGCTGTCTGTTTCCTTGGGATTTAACAAGGCTCAGTCTTCTTTAGGCCACTAATATCTAATCTCTATTTTCTACACAGAAAAAAGCAAGGTTGCTTCTCAGGTTTTGGTAGGAAGGCCAAGTAAGTATTAGTCTGTCAATAGTAGCCTTTAGAACTGTCTGGAGTTCATGGTCAAAAGGTGACCCCTGGCTATGATTATATGGATTACAGCAAGTAAGTCATTCTTTGTAGTATTTCCTCTTTTCACTTATCAATAAAATCAGCTGTTGTTTCAACAATGAAAGTGAAAGTAAAATATGAAAACACAAGTTTGATTTTTTGCCCTCATATAACCAAAGATAATAAAACAAATGGGACATTTATGCTGCCTAAAGCTGTTAAAGCTTTATTCCATGAGGGCCAAGTTCTCCAGTGACCAGGAAGGGAGCTGGGTGCTTACAGTGGGATTATGATGCTGGTTCTGGAGTCTATGCTCCATAGGACAGAAAGGAGAGACACAGGAGAAGCAGACATCAAAAAAGGGAGTTGGAGCCAACAGTGTGGAAGGATTGTGGGAACTGGGTTCTGGAAGGAGTGAGTGTGAAGGCTGACAGTTGGTCTGAAAGGGTTGTGAGGAGTTGAGACAGTGGAGCAGCTGTGGGCTATTGTTTAGGGTACAACAAGGTCCAGGCAGTGGCCCGGAGACGAGCAGTGAGGGTATAGGTGGAGGACGCAGTGCAGGGAGGTCTGGGATCTAAAGGTCAAGGTTTGAAAGGATTCACATTTGTTGAAATCAAGAAGACTTTAATTTAGACAGGAGATGTGTTAGAGAGAGAATCAATCAGTGCGCCAGGAGCAAGAATCACTGAGAAATGGGGCCGGGAGCAGACCTCAGAATGTGAGTGGATTTCTCTATTACTCTGAAAAGTTTCGAGATGACTTAAGAATCTTCCTGATGACTCATGCAAACTGTAAAAGTACAAAATTCAGGTACTCTATAAGGAAACACAATTTATTTTATCATCGGTTCTTCATTGATGATCAGTCAGTTACAATCAGGAATTTAAACAGTAGTTTATTTGATTTATTTATTATAGGAGGGAGGGGGCAAGGGAAAGTGGGGGGGGGTAGGCAGAGACAAATGTATGTGAAAGAAAAAAATTAAAAAAATAAACAGTAGTTTACTTGATTTATTTATTCCTATAGATTCAAATATAAAAAGAAGAAATTTCTCAACTACTGCTGGGTATTCCAAAACAACACACAATACATGTTTATGTGTTTATTCCTCTGGTGCTCTGCTTAACTTTATTGTAGAAAATAATTTATTTCTTAAAAGTCGTCTGAAAACTTTTAATAGACAGGTGCATCAAAACATACACAAAAGAAAATTTGAATATTGACTTTACACCACCTTCCCTCGGTTCTGTTTTTCTAACAGAGATTTAGTTCATACAAGTCCCGCGAAGAAGACCCTACTCTCACAGAAGAAGAGGTGAGTCTTGTAGCTTCTTTAGCACCAGAAAGCTCCTATAATAAAAACAGAGCATCTCTCTTTGAATAAACACACTGTCACATGACCCTTTATCTGAAAAAGCTAAAATGCTCTCTGAAGCCCCTGTCTGTCATTCAGGGTTCGGACGTTGGCTCTGTAATGGCTCAGATGGAGTAACTGGAAGATGGGATGGACAGGTCAGCTACATAAAGGAGAATGGGTGGGAAAAAAGGAGCAGGAAAAAATCGAGAGGGGAGAGGAGGAAAGAGGAATGAGAAGATAGGAATTTAGATATGGGAGTTTAGTCAGCCCTCTGAAACTCCATGTGAGGAAGAAGTTCATCGTGGGCTGGAAAATCCAGGAAACTGGAATAAGGAAGGGAAGGTGTTGACCTAGGCCAGAAGACTGAGGCAGCCCTTCTCCTCAGGGGATGCCAGAGGCAAAGAGCAGGGAACTTCAGGACACGCAGTTCCAGGCTGGGCCTGACGTACAGCCAGCAAGAAAGGATTGCCGGTTCTCCCAAGCACCAGGTCTGAAAAATCACTGGTTAAACTTCAGTGGAGTATGAATATTGTAAAAACCATTACATATGTTATTATATCAAGCTAGGCTTAAACATAGAGCTGGGTGCCTTCATTGATCTGGCTGCAAGTAGCTTCTGGGTAGAATCCTTAGCACAGTAAATTTTGTCCATGTACAAGAGCGATGTACATTTGCAGATGCATCACATCCTGTATGGGGCTCTGAGTGGGGGCCTGAAATATGCAGACACTGCATCTCCACGCGGAAAGTTCAAGGAGCAGAAGTGTTTGTCATGAGTGCTCTCGGCCACCCTCCAGGGGTCCTCCCCAGGGAATGGACTTGCCATCTAGCCTCCTGGTTGCACAAGCCACAACCGTAGGAGTCATCCTTGACACCCCATTTTCCTCACCACCCACAGATACAGCCAGTAGCCCCGCCTCTTCAGTTCCACCTCCAGACAGTGGTTTTCATGCATCCCCGTCTCCATCCCACAGTGCCCTCCTACCAGGGCCCAGGATGGCTCCCTCGTCGTCCTCCAGTGTTTTCCACACTGTGCCAGAGCCACCACTATGGGGACAAGAAAACGGAATATATAGGAGTTCTGGAAACAAATCCTATGTAAAATAAACCAAGGCCATGCAAAACTTTAAATTACTTTTCTTCTTCTCTTACATTTGTTTGTGGCTTTTGAAAATAGGACCTAGTTATACTGATGAATTTTTAATCTGAAATAACTGCGATTCAAGTGTATTCATTTGAGGAAGAAGATTTAAGAAAAATAAACATGAAAATCATTTATTTCTGTTTTTGTGTAATGTTACGTAGTTCAGACTGAAACTGAGACCCAAGTTTGAAGTACTGTCACCCCAATTTAAGAGAATTATGGGAAAGGATTGATTATCAAAAGCAGAGAAATGGGAACTAGGAAGAGAATAATTTATGAGAACGTAACAATTTACAGACTGAGTAATAAAAATGAAAGATTTTAAAGAGAAAAATTGCAAAGCCAAATAAATTTTAGAGAGAGAAAATTCAAAGGGCTTGAAGAGAAACTTGTATACAAAATAGAAACAGTAGTCTTAGAAGACAGATATTCAAAATGGATATCAGGAGACTTGAGAAATTTTTATAAGAGAATTTACAATGACACCCTCTGCACATTAAGTTCCTGCCCAGAGGTAATATTAAGTTGCAAGTTAATGGAAGAGCCTGTAATTTTTTTTAGAAAGAGTATTTGTCCCAGGGGGAAGGAACTTGAGGAGAAAAACAGAACCAGCGGTGAAGGGCCAGCCCACACCTTTACAATCCCAGTAGAGCTGGGTCTGTTGTCCTATGTGGTGCTGAGGGTGAGAATGAACATCTGCTGTGCTGGCCCCTCGCCACTGTCAGCCATGGTTCACCCCTTTATAATCTGTCCACATTTTGGCTTGGACTAATATTTTGATAAAAAAAGTTCTATATGTTAGCACTTCATTATGAAAAGCAGACAATTTTTTTATTCTTCCTAAATTTAAAGAAATTATGGCTTCATTCTGAGAGTCATTTTTCATTAAAACCTCTAAGGTGAAAATGTTAATCAAATAGTCATCAGAATGGTCAGATCACCATGGCCAGAGTTGCCCAAAGATTATTTCTGTCACTAAACCTTTGGATCATCATGGCCTGGCAACAGTGAGCCACCAGCCTGTGGTAAGCCATCCTCGTGCAAATGACCAGCTCCCACGCAGCAGGCCGGCCTTAAGAAACTGGAGCTGGTGAGCCCAGCTGGAGCTCCATCCACAGCATGTGGCAGTGTGGAAAAAGGGAAAGCTTGCTCCATGCTTGCAAAGCTGAGCATCTATCAGGAGGCATGTTCATTTATTTCCTGGGTGTTTGCATAAGTCAGTCACTGTGGCCAAGATACGTACAGGTAATGAAGACTATGTTTACTTATTTAAACCATGATTTTTAACAATAAAATAATTCCCCAGATAATCTCGTAACCAGTACATCTGCTCTAGCATTACCAATGAAAATTAAATCACTTTCTATTTTAGAGAATATGTAGGACATATTAGTGACACTGAATAGGTATGCTTAGAAAACACCCTGCTCCTCATGTAGGAAAGAGCATTCCATAATGGATTGTCTCCAGTTTCATTTCTGAGTTGTAAATAAGAATGAATTTTCCCACTAAAGAAACTTAGTCCTGTTGTAAATGATTACTTAACCAACAGCATGTGATTAAATAAAAAATAATAAGACCACACTCTTACAAAAGTATGTGTACTGCCGAACAGAATCCAGGACTCTGCTTCAAAGTCCAGTTCAGTGGTTGTCACATGAGCAACAGAATCTGGGCCCCTGCCCCAGGATTTCTGACTCAGTGGTTTGGGATCAGAATTTGCCTTTCTCATAAATTTCCAGATCCTGCTGCTCCTGGTTCAAAGCCCACAGTTTGAAAATCACTCATCTAGTACATATTTTCTGCCTTTTTTTAATAAAGCAATAGAGCCCCTTGTCAGGTGAAATACCCTTCTAATACAGAAATAAAATGAAACACGATGCTGCGGTCTGGTCCTGGTGGCCCGGAGCTGCCCGCCTGCCCACTCTCATACCCTCAGCCAACGAGAGAAAACCAGGTTTTCATGGAATTATGCTGACAGGACTGGTCTACTTACAAAGTTGAAGATAATCTACAAAATAGCTCTCTAGTAATGTACTACAGGATTAGTGCAGACAATAAAGAACCCAATTTGGGCATTTATCTGAGGGTAATAAAATCACTTTCTCAGCCTGCAGCCCCATGTGCATTGCAGCATTATTCACTACAGCCAATATTTGGAAGCAACCTCAGTGTCTGTCGACAGATGAGTGGATAAGGAAAATGTGATTTTACATGTGTGCAAAATACATACATATTATGGAAAACAAATATTTATTGAAGAAGATGTAAGATTCAAGAAACATTGTACATAGGACAATGACGCGTCAGTCCCCTTCAAAGTAGGCACCTTGGACCTCGCACAATTCTCCCAGCATCTCTTCCACTGTTCAAAACACTCTGCAAAATCCTTTGTTGGACTCATCATCAGCTGCCCCATTGTGTTTTCCTGAATTTCATTGATGGTCTGAAATCTCTTCCCATTCAAAGGTGATTTTAGTTTTGTGAAAAACCAGAAGTCTCAGGGCGCCAAATCTGGGCCATAGGGGGGCTGAGTCACCTGGGTGATCTGATGTTTCACACAAAATCTGTGCACGAGATGTGACACATGAGTGGGCTCACTGTCATGATGAAGCTGCCAGTCACCAGTTGCCCATAGCTGCGGCTGTTTTCATCATATTGCATCTCTCAGCCAACCAAGAACATTGAGGTAGTACTCTTTATTAATTGTTTGGCCTGCAGGGGCGTACTCATGATGAACAGTACCTTCCCAATCAAAAAAACACAATTAACATGGTCTTGATCTTGCTGCAACTTTGCTGCACCTTCTTCGGGCATGGAGAAACAGGTGACTTCCATTGGGACAACTGGGCCTTCGTTTCCGGACCATTGCCGTTGACTCACTATTCATCTCCAATTATGATCTTATTGAGGAAATCTGGTTCATTGGTAACGATTTGAATCAAGTCATTAGTAACTGCAGCATGATGGTCCTTCTGCTCTGGTAACAGAAGCCACAAAATGAATTTTGCCACGTTTCATGCCAAGATCCTGCATCAAAACCTTGGACATAGTACTTACAGTTTTTGGAATCCCCAGGTCAGTTTCTAGTTCTTGCACTGTCAGTCTCTCATCTTTGTTGATTGCAGCCTGTACACGTTCAACATTCTCAGGTGTTCTGTTTGTTCTGGGCCTTCCAGAATGTGGGTCACTTTCAACAGAGGCCATCTTTGAAGCATTTGTGCTGCACTTTTATTTGCACTGCACTCATTGCATTGTCCCCAAAAGCCTTCTTAATCATCCGAATAGTTTCCACAGAGGAATGGTCAAGCCTACCACAAAATTTGATACAGATTCGTTGCTCTACTTACTCAGTCATTTTGAATGTGATGGCCACACAGTACACACACTTACTTAAAGAGCATCTACCACCCTCACTGACCAGTACCGTGAAGTCATCATTGTTCACACCTATGCATTCTAGTCCACTCTCCTTGGCTGCCAGGTTACATCGAAGTCATGCAAACCATTCTCATTATATTAACAGTGGCTGGACTTTATCTGAACAGACCTCATAGTACATACACGATGGAATATTATTTAGCCATTAAAAGGAGGAAGTCCTGTCTGTTGTACCCCTGAGAGCATTATGCCAAGTGAAATTAGCCATACAGGGAAAGACAGATACTTATGCACTCAAACATATGTGGAATCTAATAAAAAGCTGATCTTGTAGAAACAGAGGGTAAGCTGGTGGTGGCCAGGGGCTGGGGGGTGGGAGAGAGATGGGGAGATGTTGGTCAAAGGGTACAAACTTCCTACTGTAAGATGAACAAGTTTTTGGAGCTAATGTCCGGCATGGGGCTAGAGTTAATGATCCTGTACTATATTATATACTCAAAATTGTTGAGACTACAGCTTAAATGTTATCACCACACACCAAAAATGATAACATGGTAATGGAGGTGTTAACTAACCTTATTGTGGTAATTATTTGACAGTATAGATGTGTATCAAATCGTAATGTTGTATACCTTAAGCTTACCTATGTTGTATGTTAATCATATCTCAATGAAACCAGGGGTGGGGGAATCAGGACAAAATCCTTAAAGGGACACACATACACTGAAGTGCTAAGTATCTAGCTTATCACTGAAAGGTGGGAGGGGAGATCAAGCTTGAAGCTTTTTTATTTGATTCAACTTTTGTTTTCTAGATCTCGGCCATGTATTCATCTGTAAATAAACCTGGACAACATGGGAATAAATCAGGACAGTCACTTAAAGTATCAGAGTCCAGCTTAGGAGCTGCTCAAAGGCCCCTGTCTTCCTGTAATGATCTCTATGCAACTGTTAAAGACTTTGAGAAAACACCCAACAGCATCAGCACACTCCCACCGGCCGGGAGACCCCAGGAGGAGCCCGAGCCTGACTACGAGGCAATCCAGACTCTGAGCAGAGAGGATGAAAAGGCCACCCTGGAGACCAGTGGTCGCCATGGCCCCTTCCCAAAGGAGAATGACTACGAGAGCATTGGGGACTTGCAGCAATGCAGAGATGTCACCAGGCTCTAGAAGCTCAGAAGACAGTCCCTGACAGCCTAGGACCAGCTGGTCAGGGACAAGAAGACAAGGAGCAGCATCCCTTCTACTTTACACTCTACTTTGGTGACTGAGGACAGTGAAGCTGTCCGGACAGTTCATGAACAGGAAGGTGCACACCTGGCTGCCGGGCACTGCCACACCCAAGCACATGTCCTCATGTCCCCATGTCCTCAGGACAGATCCTGGCTATCAGTGGAGGCACCACGACTCCACCCAGCTAAATACTGCCATTCCGAAGAGCCAGGTTTCCTTCCTTCCTTCTTTTGTTGCTGTCTGCTATTTTTCCCCTTGAAATCTCCCCATTTCTACTGGTTCATTCTGGGTAAATTCACCCACAGGGCTTGGCCTTTGCCTTCAATATAGGTGTTTTCAGATGGTAAGAAACCATGGTTGCTGGTACTGGCAGATCCCCCCTCAAGGGTCTTGAGTCTTCATGCCTTCTGATACAGACACTCCACATCAGCAGCTTCTTCCAAAGGACTTGAAGTCATTTTTAGATGCTTTATTTTATTTTTCTAGTCAAAACAATTTTCCTCCCAGTATTTGAAACTTCAGAACCTTTGAAGTATTTGTGGTGAACGCTGTGGTACTTCTGTACTTGTTTTAGCCCAGGGCCCACTCCTCCGAAACAGAGAGCCTTAATGTCCATGTTGGGACGCAGACATCACGTCTGGGCAGCCCATGATGGCCGCCTCTGACGGGCTGTGGATTAGACTGTGTTTCTGATGATCTGTGAGGCCACACCAGCAGCATGAGTTCCATAAGTTAAGTGCTGCCCTATGGTAATCTAGCTTAGATTAAAATATAAACATCTATTTTTGTTATATAAATTTATAAGATGTTTTATGTTTAATGCCTAATTTCTAGAAAGCACCAGAAAAAATGTATATTAACTACTTTGATTTTATGTACAATGATTTATACTTTCATTTTGAAAAGACACCACAAAGCACATAAACTAGGTAGTTACAAGTATTCATTATCATTTTTCTAAGCAAGTGTTTAAAACATTGAAGGTTTTTAAAGACTCAGACTTGTCAGACGGTACTTGGAGCTCTTGATCAAAATCATCTAGCTCCCAGAGAAATCAGTGGAATAATCATAAATGGTAGTTTTCACTGGTTTGTGATGGGAAATATTGAAAAATTTGAAGTGGTAAAAATGGAAAGAACAAAATATAACTAAGGGTGACTGTGAATTATTCATAAAGGTAAAACTCTTAAGGTTTGGTTACATTTTGAAGAAAACAATGATGAATTCTGTAGTCCAGTACTTGCAAATGCAAATCGTGTATTGGAATTTTTTTTCCCCTTCATTTTACAAAAATCAGTGTTTGTAGTAACTCAGAGTGAATATGAGCCTGGTTTGAATTTAATCATCTCTTTAGATTTTATAAGGCCAACTTTGGGAAGGTTATTCACTTTTCATTTTAAAAGGAACCTGGTCATTATGCAGTATGGGCTACAGCAAGGGAGCTGTCCTGCACTGTTACAGGGAAAACAGAGAGACGAGCAATTATTCTACACTGCTGGGACACCTGTGACTTTTCAGATTGCATCATCTTGCTATTGTCACTCATTATGACAAAGAATGCAATTGGGAGGGGGAAGCATTTGAAAAGTGTAGGGACCAGCTCACTTACACTCAGCAAGGTGTTGTCCGTTCCTCGCAATCACAGCTTGATTTGTGACTGCTCTGTAATACGTTTCTGACATCATAAAATGAGCTCTCTTCAGGCAAACTAGTTGTCATTTTTCAATCAGCCTGGTCGCTCACTTCAGGACTCCATGCACATGAGCACAGTCACCATTGATTAGAAGATAATGGCAGAATTCCCTTAGATTAGGGAGTTATCTGGATGGTGCAAGACCCTTGCCCTCAGAATTTACATCCTACGTAAGCACTGTTTTGCCTGGTGCTTTTCGCTGCTTAGTATTAATGAGTTTGACCCAGCTGCCTCTGTGTCATGGTGTTCTTTCAGTGTGTGGTGTTAGCCCTGTCCTGGGTCCTCCTAGCACTATGCCTGCAGCATCATGTCCTTCATGAGCACCTTGACTGCTCAAAACTTTATTGTATTTCATGATGTCTTATTTATTGCTAGGGAAGTGAGTATCCTCTCTAAAGTGTAAAGCCATCTAAAGACAGAAGCTCTTTATAAATAATAATGTCCTCTTGAAATCCCATTATCAGAGTTTCCCCTCAGAAGTGTTGAAATGCAGGTTGTGCAGTATAGCCAGAAAATTTTTAAAAATCAGTTTTGACATCCAACATCTGTATTATACATTCCATTATAATAACTTAGGTTAGTGAAATTATACAAAAGGATAAAAATAAGCTTTAGGAAATATTTTTTTTATCTTATAAATCAGAATTATAAACTTACCTTGCCTAAAAGAAGGATCTTGGTCTTTGTTCAAATATTTTTAAAGCTTAGGAGAATTTTTTCTGCTGCTTTTACTATTTTCCAAATATAGTCAGCAGGAAAGTATAATCTGTTTCATGTGAAATGTTTGAGGAAATTTTAAATTTGAAAAAAAGTAATTTTTGTAGAGTAATTTTCATTCCTGCCCTGCACTAAATTACATCATTAGTTCTAGGAAAGCTTTTGAAGCTCTCCTTTTTGGGAAAAAGGCAAATTACTGATTTATTTACCCTCAAAATTCAAGCATTAATTCAAATTGAGAGCTAATTAACAGTAGGTAGGCAACATCAGGAAATAACACTTAACCTTGGCATGTCACTGTCTTTGTTTCTCATATTGTATCTTCATTTTTCTAATTAGAGCATTTACTCACTTTAACCAATAACAAAACTATACACACACACACACACACACACACACATGTGTATGTATATGTATATATACACACACATGCACACACATATACACATAGATATACAATATACATATATATGTGTGTGTTCTGGTGCTTAATTAGGACATATCCTATTATTCTATTAAGTATTTTGAATATTTATTTTACTAGCATGAAGACTATCATAATAAAAACAAAACAGAAACAATTCTCCAATAATTTTTATTTGGTAATTATCAGAAAACCTTCTTAAGTTGCCCTCATTTAGTTTTTCTAATGAATAAATTCATATTTTAAATCATTTCCATAATTCTTCTAGCTGAGGAGCAGTGGTATTTTAAATAGTTTTATTATCCATGTGCCTCACTATAAATTCAGCCTCACAAGAGGAGATGTAAACAGGTGTCTCGGGTGTTGGAGACGTGATCTGGCCAAAAGCGACACGAGCCACGTGAGCCAGGATAGGACCACAGCAAGGTGACCCCACCAGGTAGCGGAAGCAGCGCTCATTCTCATGTGGGGCCATTTTCTTGCACTCTCTTCAGCAACCATAATATCCATAGGCAGTGCTGGGGTCTGATGCATGAAGTAACTGTTCTGAGATGATGACCGAGCTGTAATCGCAGAGCTTCAGTGCAAGACCGCATGAGGACTTTGTGAACAAGTCAATGAGTGTTCAGTGGTCCTTGTAAATGGGACTTGGTGGGATCTAGTGATGCCATTCCCCTGAAAGTGTTGATTTCTGGTTCCTGGCCAGCTTCACTTTGGCTGCTGGAAACCCAGTAGGTACTGATGGATATTTAAAGGAAATCTTGACAGGCTCATTGTGCTGTATAATTGGGTGAAGTTAAAGTGTAATGTTTGCTGTTAATAAGTGACTGAAGTGAAAATAGAAACGTGTCTATAATAGCAACTATGGCTTTATTTGCAATGAAATTGAGATTCCTGGTCTTGTGGCAGTATTTTCTTGCTCTGTATTATACCTTTCCTTTGATACATTGTTTTTGACAGTGGCATTAGACAGGTTGTACACACTTAGGAAGTGTTTGACTTAGAGAGATCAGTTCAGAAACCATGATAAATTAGAGTCTTCATCTGGAATTACCAAAGTAAATTAAATGAAATCATGGTCCAGAAGAGAACAAACGTTCATAAGTGCTTTTTTCCCACTACTGCTTGTTTTAAGTCTATGTTTACATCCAGTCTCTAATATTTAAAAAGTATTTCATTGTTTTCCCAGGTTCTTCTTTTATTTAATAAAGAAGTGGTAGGTCAGATTCATCTTCATACCAAATGAAATGAGAAATGTAATTTTGTTAAAAAGGCAACATTTTTAGGCATTCAGTTCGGTAACCATTTATCTCAATGCATTTAGATTATTTTTCTTTGCTCACCACTTATATGCTGAGTATTTTTAAAAATGTACTGGGATCTGGGTGTCTCAGATCACCTTGTGTAATGGGTTAAAAAAGGCCAGTAATTGTTATTGTTCAGACTTCTGTTTGTTAAAGTGACAACAGTAAATATTTTAATGTTGTTACCTTTTAAATAATTGTGCTATATTACTATGACTCATATGTTCAGGGGAAGTTTGAAATATAGCTAAACAAATAGGAATTTACATTTCATTGTTCATGCATTTTTTTCCTCATAAAAATAGTTCCCTCAAAAAGTGACTTATTATCTGCTAGATGTCCACTGTTTCAAAATACTCCTCTTACTCAAAAATAATCCATGACACTGAGTGAAATTATGACTCATGTGTCAAAAAGTTCCTGCCATGGTCAAATTTCTCAACTCACAAAAGAGTGAGAAGTTGTATTGGGAATTTTTAAACCTTAGTTTTAGTCCAAAAATATCTCATATTGGCTTCCACAGCTTATAATTTTGTCCTCCCTACTTTAGTCCATTTAAGGAGCAGTCTAAAGACTGTGGGCAGGAAGGTGCCATTTCTCCCAGTCTCACTTAGGATCCTCCTGCCCAGAATACCTTCTGTCACTTTGCCCAGTGCAACCTCTGGGGCCTCTTCCCCACCCCAGTCCCTCCTAGTCTGCTATTTCCAGGACATCCTATTTTGTCTAGCTTCTCCAATACCATTCAGAGTCCTGCCTCTTGGCATAGAGCCATCCCACCCGCCAAGTGAGCAGACAGCTCCACCCACCTCATTCTCCTACATGGCAGGCAACCCAGGTAAAGCCACAGGTGAACCCAGGAAAGCAGGTGCCAGTTGTCCTTTGTCATGAGCTTTGCTCAACCAGGTACACAACTGCCCACTTCTTTCATGAGAATGGTTGTTACTAAGGGGTCATGGAAAATAGCTTTTAAAAAATTGTGTTAAGAACCGAAACTCAACAAATGCAGAAAAATTCTCACATGACCATGCTGTAACTAGTAAGCTCACTGTCCCCACAATGCACCAAGACAGCCCTGTGTCTCCTGAAGCTCCAATGAAGATTGGTCTTCAGTGGACCAGTAGTTTTCTTTAAAGTAGGATGCTGATTATTTTAAAGGGGAAAAAAACATTTCTTGTCAGAAGTAATCATTTATAAAACATGTTTTAGCAAATTAGCTGTTGCCCCCCACCCCTGCTGTGAAATTCTTCTTGTGAGTTGTATTAGTTATAACCAGTTTTAGCTACTCTCCCATGTCCCAAGGAAATGAGAGTGTTCAAGCATCTAACTGCAGTTACCAGACACTGAATAACCTAGCCATTGCTAGGCAAACTGATGGTTAGAGTGAGAAACCAAGCCCCCTTTAAGGATGAGCCTGGGTGAATGGTGGCTGCAGGTCTCCCTTTCTGGACACCTAAGGATCCACCATTATTAGTTTTGATAGTTTTGTTTAGTTTTGATTTTAAGTTCACTCTAACTAAGCTTAACCTCATAGTTATTATTTGAGTGGATATTCTGGACTGTAATTTTTTTCCAAATTAACAGAACAGATAGCAGCTCATTCTCTTTATGCATTTAATTTTTAAAAGTCCACCCAATATACCAGTTTGTCATCCTTAATAGGACAATTAAGGTAATAAGAGAGACCAGCCTTTGCCCCTGGGGTCTGCACTCCAGACCTGTCTTGTCCTAAAGTCTGTTTTTGTTTCCTTTTGTTTGTTTTTTTAAACTCAACAAGTTGGAAACCATGAGTTTAAACAAACTCTTTCCCTTTCCTTTCTTAAGCTTAAAGAGAATTTTTTTTAACTTTAGGCTCCCAATGAGGTAGGAGAGGCTCCTGTGATAGACAGCAGTTACCGTCCCCAGGCCCGGAGACTGACACCAAGGCCTGGGTCTGCCTGTAAAGGACGTGAACATTCCCTTGACAAGTTTTTATGCATTTTTAATGTAAAACTCATAAATGAACCTGACATGGTGTTCGTGATCCATCCCACAAGCTTGCCTTCTTTTTTACATTTGTGTTTGAACACGAGCTTCCCTGGTGTTTCCTGGAGCGGTACTAGAAAGCTGGTTCCTGTGGGCGTTGCCTCCTGCTGTCCTGGGAGGCAGCTGCACAGTGATTGTGTGTAGGTAGAAGCCAGGGGAAAGAGTCAGGAAAGCTGAATTTTATGTTCACACCCACAAGCATTCAAAAGGGTCCTATATGCCTCAGACTTTGACACTGTTTTTTCAATTTTTTTATCTGAGTACCAACTATATATTTGATTTTAGGAGGAGGGCAGCAGGGACCAGAAGTAAAATTTGAACTAAGTGACATGGACAAGGCTTCCTGCCCTTGACTGTTTATGTGTCTGGAAAATGTATTATCCCAAATCCCTGTCCACCACTCTGAATCTCTCAAGGAGCAAGTTATAAGTAGATATAAATGAGCAAGGCTATCTCAAAGACTTAAATTATTGTTTAGATATTTTCTTCTTTACAAATTCAGGAATCAGGTGGTTTGTAGATAGCATAATATGGTTAGTAAAACTATAATTTGTAGGTCACTAGATGCATCCTTTCAGATGTTTCATTTAAAGACTTCTGACTTTGTTTTAACTAAGAAAAGAAACTTCTCATAATGGAAAAAACAAACCCAACAAAACACTTCTACAAACTCTAGAACAGTGTAGCATCAGTCTAATATCTACACCAGAGTATGTATTTCTTGCCTATAATAGTTCAACAATTTTTATGGGAGAAAAAGATGCACATTTTTTATTCCTTGGAAATGTGGATTGAGGTATTGAATTAAATTCTCAGAGGGGATAATTTAAAAAGAAGCATTGGTTTTGGAGACAAGCTCATGTCTCTATGGTCACTGTTCCAGCACTTTACAATGTGACGCTGAACAAATGATTTAACTTCTCTGTGCCTCAGTTTCTCCATATACAAATTGGAGATAATGATATGAACCATTGCCTACCTCATAGGGATGTTATGGGGACAAATGAGATAATATAGAGAAATACCAATGCTTTGAACTCTGGAAGGAAGGTGCTATATATATTGATGTTGTATTGTTTTTAATGATCCAATTATGTATAGGGCTTAAACTATAGCAATACTGTTAGTCATGTTAAGAGTAAGTTTCAATTTGATTCATATTTACAGCTCTCTTCTGGGGCCAGGTCTTGATCATTTACCCATTAATGGTACAGAAGGACTGAAATGGTTATGTTTTTTTTTCCTGTGTTTCTGCCCATGGTATTTTTATTCTGAATGTTCCCCAAACGCTGGAATTAAACTTCTAATATCTTATCGTTTACATGTAATGAACCTTATTCAAGCTATGTATAAAGTATAATTACATGTAAATAGCAGGTACATTGTAATTAAAGGCACTTATCAAATTGTCTTTGTTCTTTTTTAATTGCAATAAAGGTCAGTTTTATATAAAAGCTTGTTAAAATTCATTTGGTATTTGGGAAGATCAAGAGGGACTCACTTAGCCCTGGCCAGTGTGACTCAAGTTTGTTGCAGCATCATCCCACAAAGGTCACAGGTTCGATTCCAGTCAGGGCACATGCTTAGGTTGCAGGTTCACCCCCCCCCCAAGTTGGGGCGCATACAAGAGGCAACCAATCGATGTTTCCCTCTCTCTCCCTCCCCTCCCCTCTCTCTAAAATCAGTAACCATGTACTCAAGGTG